CTAGAATCCCAAGCTTATCATGCCTTGTGGGGCTCATGGTATCTCCCTATGTGAGCTGAGCTGGTCTGCTGCCTAGGGACTTAGGAACAAGATTTCTCTGGCCTGCTGGACTGAGGGAGACCATGGCTCCATCTCCAGGTCAAAGGTCCGGCCAACATCTGTATACCCAGACAGACTGGTGCTGAACTGGGACTCAAGGGCTCTTACAGTTCCAGATCCAGAGCCATATTCTCAACCCTATCCTCAGCCTTCAGGGTTAGCCCGCCTACGGGCGACGTCCCCACCCCCTTTTGCTCTGCCCTGCTTCAGCTTCTGTCTCTGGTGTCCTCAGAAATACCTCAGGCTCTTTGTCCATACCGAGCTCTCGCCCTCTCTCCCCAAGCTACAGCTCCTGGGCCCCGCGTTCTAGGGAGACATTCAAAGTACCCAGCATCTAGTTTATAAGCCTGACACCCACCTCAGGTGCATCCGCACTGTGGAGTCTAGAGAGTCAGCCCAAATTCACAATTAGGATTCAGAAAACAGGGTGTCCTCTTACAAACGAGGGGCCGAGTGAGATGATATAGGCAGTCCTGAGGTCATCAATAAGGAGCCCCCATTGGCCAGTGTCACAAGAAGAGGTGGCCCTGCACCCAGAGCCTCGGGCCTAGTTTATGGACCCATAGGGAACAGTGACTTGACCCAGGGCAACACTGGCTTGCTCTAGCACTTCCTGTCTCCTGGGCACAGGATCAAGCCTGTTCTTTGGGTTTCTCATTATGTCATCAAATTGTACAGTTTATCCATGGCTGGTGCCTGGAAGCAGTGGCTGAAGATGGATTCGGGAGTAGAGGAGAGGCCAACTGCGCCTCCAATGGCTTATGTGTGGACACCTGAGGTCAAGGGTCAGAAGAAAATCCCTATCTCAGCATGAAAATATGAAGAGTCTCCAACAGTGACACCTGGTGGGGATGATGAGTAATACAGCAGATGGAAAGAAACCAAGGCCCTTCAGTGTTGGACTGGATTAGATGAGAAACAGCTCTTGGACAACTGGGCATGGTCTCAAGAGGGAAGTACTGACCTTGTCAACAGGATGTGTACATCTCCAAGCGTTAAAATGACAGGTAAAGGATATTCTCTAGACTAAATATGGATTCTATAGGGAAAAACCCTGAGAGACTTTGAAACAGGCAAAAGTATTTCCTGACTGTCCTTTCATTAGAATGCCAGGACCACTGGGGACTGTGAAGTATTGTAGAGAGGCACACCATGTGTGTGTCTTCAACTTGGATGTTTCATGGCTCTGTGGAGAGAGTGATAAGCATGGCGAACACTGCTGGCATTTCCTGTGCATGGTGCACATCTGAGAGCCGTCTCTTGGTTGTATAGGAATTTGTTTCCTATTCAGTTCTGAGGATAAAACCGAACCCAGGACCTGGAGGATGTGAAGCAAGGACTCCACCACTGAGCTAAATCTTCTGTCCTATCTTTGTGTATGTATTAGGATATTTTACATACAAAGTCACTTCCCCTACAATTAAAGGTTTAATTTTTCCTTTCCTGCCTGAGGTCTTTAGTTTTTCTTTCCCCAAATAAAGTGGCAGGAATTCTTTGGAAAGAAAAAAGAAGAAACCACTCTCACCCACTTGTGTGATTTTTGAAAGGTCACTTTAGAGCCCTTGGTATCAGACCCCTTACACATTACACATTACACACACACACACACACACACACACACACACACACACACACACACATGCACGCACGC